GATCAGACCAAACCGCCCAGAACTGCGATCCCTGAGGCCACGACAGGAACCTCAGCGAGGCTACGTCTTCACTCCGCTTTGATGGCTGGGGGCTCTTCCGACTCTCGCTGACTTCTGGGGGCCTCCGTCGGGCCCCTGGGCCACCCGCACGGACCCGGCACGAGAGCCATACCCCCGAGGGGAGGCGGCCCCAGGACCCCGGGGCCGCGCACGGAGCCAGAGGCACATCGTCGGGACGCGTCGGCTGTAAGGGACCCGGGGGCCCACCAGGGTGCTCTACTCCACTGCCGATTGCCTACACCAGACCACCCCGCCCCAGCCCCGAAGACCCGACCTGGACCAGAACTTCGGGTGTGTTTGGGGGGGGCGGGGTGGTACGGGTTCCGCGCGTGCTTCCCCTGCTCCCCGACCCCCCCGCCCCCCCAACTGGAAGTGGAGGGCCGCCGGGAGGAGCCTTCGGGCCCTGGGCCCGAGGGGGGTGGCCCCGTCGTGGGCGGGGCCCCGCCCTGCCCGAGGCCCAGCGCGCGAGCGCGCGGAGGGATGGCCCGGCGGCGGCGTGCCGGCGCCGATCGGCCCCCTGCTCCCCAGGAGTGGCGTGATGTCGGGCGCGTCCCCCTACGGGGGGATTTTCGACGAAAAAATAAAAAATACCCCAACAATACCCCAAAAAGGTCAAACAGATACCCTAAAAATTGTCCCCAGGTTATTTTTGGACCATGTTTGGGGCCTTTTGAATTTTTCGACGAAACTCCCCCTGAAGGGGGACACGCCCGACTTACGAGTGGCGGGCCCGGGCCCTCCCCGATCTCGGGGCCGCCCCCGGGGCTCCCGAGGCGCTCCGATGGCGGCGCTGCGGGGGCCCATGGGAGGGCCCCTGCAGGGCCCAGGGAGGCAGCCAACGGGGACCTCCAGGACCCGTGCTCGGCGCTCCAAGAATCAAAGTGGGGCCCTGCAGGACACACGCAAAGGAAATCGACACACACACATCACAGGATTCCCCCATACGTTCCAAAATGGTCTGGGCTTTCGTCTTCCCCTCCGATTCCCACAGTTTCCCATACTTTCTGGGGAGTCGACGATTCATTGTGTCTGTGCGTTCCTTTCCCTCCTGAAAAATGGGGCGCTGAGACGTGGGGCCCAGAGGAGAGGGATGATGCCCCAAAGAACGCAGATACGACCTGGAAGCCCGTGTCTACCCTCAGTGCCCTCTCCCACAGGGCCCCATCTTCGAGCCCCCCGTGTTTCCCTCAGCACCAGGAGCACCCAGAATCGAATCGAGAAGACGGATCGGCGATCGAAGCGAACCAGATCGGCGGATAAGCAGCCAAGTCGAGAGAAATCGAATCGGCGGAAATCTGAAGGCGACTAAAGCCTCCATCGAGAAAGCGAGACACAAAAAACGGAACCCGAAATCGAATCGATCCGCAATCGGCCTCGACCGAGATCGCATCGCATCGGGCCAGAGTAGCGAAAATGCGCACTGCAGCACCCGCCCAAGCCATGGCGATCCTCTCTGCATCCAGCTGGCGGACCAGCTCCTCGCAGCGCGCCGCGGCCGCCTGTCGACGTCGCGCCGAGGGGGCAAGGTGAGAGGCGGCATGCATTCTCAGAGGGCGGCGTTGCTCCGCAGAGGTCCCCTGGCCTGCTGAGAAGCCGCCCTGTACCTTCGGAGGGGATGGTGCGCCGAAGGACATACCAGTACTGTGAGCTGATGCTGGAGGCGCACGTCCGACACGAACGGATAGTACGATCGGGCTTGACTGGAGAGGGCACGCGAGGGAACACAAGACCCTTCCGAGGGCTGCATTGCCGTAGGAATGTAACAGGCTCGGGCCTCTGAAGACAGGACACAAGGGTACCTTCGACTTGGCAGGGTCGATCCAGCAGTCGAGGCCAACTGCACACAAATCTGGTAGCATGCCGCTTCCCGAGCGTCAGGGCCCTGTAGACCCGGACACGCTAGACCCGGACACAAAAATACCCCTCGAAACAAATTGTTCCAAACGGCGGCACGAACAAAATACTGCACTGCAGCATTTCCAGAATAAACCCGGACACAGGCCCCCAAAGCCTGCAAGACCCCCCTTAACCCGGACACACACCCGAATCCTGCAGTGCAGCAAACAAAAAATGCACGGGTGCTGAAAAACGTGACTTTGCAGGAAAGGATGTCGTTTCCTTTGTTTCCCGTGTCCTGGTTTATCTGTTTCCTGGTCTCTGGGGGCCTGAGAGCGGCATAGCCAGAGAGCGCCGGCCGCGAAACTCATACTATAAGATGCCGAAGCGTGCGAGTCGCCATGGCAAGGCCGACGCACACATAATACGAATATCCATCGGTCGGAAGAAACAGGTAGAAACATGAAGTAGGAAGGCGTTGAAAGCAGATTGGGTTCCGTCCGCCCCCTAAGGAGGACGCACAAGGTGAAACCACTCGATCATAGAAATAGGAAGGCGCTTAAAGTAGATTGGAATATGGAATCCAACAATACCTACTTTCAACATCCGATGAATAGTACGAAAATGTTTGGGTGGTGCCGAGGAGAGACGCAGAAAACTTATCCAAACATTGGAGGCCACCGATACCGCCACTCTTAGGCCGGGCACGTCCTACTATAGACAGATTTTTTGGACGACACATAAGCAAATGTTCGAAACATGCGGAACATAACTTATATCACAAAACATGGGAAATCGTCCCCAGACTATTGTTCGACTATTTCTGCAAATCCCTCCTGTGGTGGAACATGCCCGACTTCACGCTTATCCCCAATCCCGTCTCGGGGTGCGCTCTGAGATTTCTACCTGAAGGGGGCTTCCCGGAAATTTCGTCGGAGATTTGGCTGGGATTCCCAACCTCGGGGGGGTTGTCAGGAGATTTCGTCAAAAAATTCGCCGGAGATTTCCGCTGCCAGGGATCCGAGAGGTCCCCACCACTGCTGCCGGAGATTCTGGGGGAGAATTCTGGGAGAATTCTGGGAGATTCCTGGGGCAGCGAGAGGTCTTCATGCACCCGATCTAACGCTCTGCCAAGGACTCTGCAGATCGCCAGGCCGCGGCGACGAGGGCACACGCCAGGGCCAGCAACGGCATCGCTACACCGCTGTCCTCTGAGTATCGTTGAACCGCTCCCCATCCCCAGCGGCGTGGCCTGGGCCCCGCTGGCCGATCTACACCCCCCAGATGGGGGTATATAGGTCGTTATCTTCGGGTTTCGAGGGGTGTATCCCCAGCCGGGGTGGCCATTTGGTGGGGGTCTCGAAGGGGATGGAAATGGGGATGGGGATTGGTTTAAGGATACTGGTCCTCCTCTGGAGACAGGCTCCCCACAAAGGCGCCGCAGCCGCCTGCTGGCCACGGAAGTCCACACACTTTCCCCATGCAGGGCCAGACTTGGGTCGGTCGTCGGGCATGTCTTCCCACAGGCAGGTTTTGGCTGAAAGCGTTTGCCGACAATACACCGTCGGGGCGTAGACCTAAGGAACCCCAAATCAGGAACGAGGCCTTTTTTCCCAAAGCTAAACTTCGATTTCCCATGGAAAACCTCCGGAACACCTGAGGCAAGCTGTAAACAGATCAAGGAACACCGAGCCCCTCCCCAACGCAAAATGGTTCCTTCTCCAGCGCCCCGACTGTACAACAAGTGCCGAACAATATTCGAACCATCGTCCCCAGACTCAGCGAGGGCCCCCAAGGGCCGGCAAACGTAACAAGCCGCCGAGGGGGCAGGAGCAGTCAGCATCGAAGCGGCAACCCGAACCGAGTCGGAATGCGCGCCTGGTCGGGCCGCAGCGGCACGTAGTCGAAATCGAATCGCAGCGGCTGCGCCAGCGTGAACAGCATCGCCATGCATGTAAGCATCAGGGTCGCATCGGAGCGCCGGGAAAGCGAACTCGACTCGGACAAGCCTGGCCGACAACGGCATCGACTCACATCGGCATGGGCCCTGAGGGGGTGGGCCTGGGCCAGGCCCCCCCCGCCTCGCGGCCGTCTCTGATGGGCAAATTGACCACCGCCACTACCGTATGTAGGCCCAGGGCGAAGAGAGGATGAGGTCCTCCTCCTCCTCCTCCTCCTCCTCCTCCTCCTCCTCCTCCTCCTCCTCCTCCCCCCCCCTCTCATACCTGTGGTCGTGGCGGTGCAAAATGGGCCCTAAAGTCTCCACTGGCCCGCCGTAGACGCCGCGTCGTCGCCGCCCCGCCGTGGCCGCCGCTGCCGGCGCCGCTCGCCGCTCGCCGCCGCTGCGTGCGCCCGCTGCCGCGCTGCCGCTCGCCGCCGCCTCCGCTCGCCGCTCGCCGCCGCCCCCCGCCGCTCGTGACTCAAGGAGGAGGAGGAGGAGGATGAGGATGAGGAGGAAGAGGAGGAGGAATATGAGGAGGATGAGCATGAGGATGAGGAGGAGTTGAGGAGGAGGAGGAGGCACGCCAACTCAATGATTCCGAAGGAGGGGGAGGAGCAGGAGGTGGAGCAGGAGGAGGAGCAGAAGGAGAAGGAGAAGAATGAGGAGGAGCTCGGGAGGAGGCGGAGTAGAAGCAGGAGGAGGAGGAGGAGGAGGAGGAGGGGGAGGAAAAAGAGGAGGAGGAGGAGGAGGAGGAAGAGGAGGAGGAGGAGGAGAAAAAGGAGGAGAAATGAAATGAAATGAAGAATGGGCAAGCCGTCAAGGCAGGCAAACCCTAGGATAAAAAGCAAAAAGGCTCAGGAGGAGGGGGTCAACACCGCCGTCTCCTCCTCCTGATGCTGCTCCTCCTCATGCCCCGCCTCGCCGCCGAACACGGCGGCCTCGGCCTCGGACACGAAGTGGGGCAGGGAGTGGGCGTCCAGCCCGTACTTGCCCAGCAGCTGACCTCGGGTGAGACCTGCATTCCACGGAGGCCCCCTGGGGAACACACACCTGGAAGAAGCAAAAACTGGAGCCCGAGGACGGCCCAGGATCGCCCGAGCGAGGTCCAAGAGGTCCGAAGGCGCAGGGCGCTCAAGCTCTCCGAGGCTCCACCCACTATACC